GTGCTGGATTTGCGTTGACAGTGCTACATGATTCGTGCTACACATGTGATGACAGTGCTACTTAATTTATGCTACTTGTGTGATGACAGTGCTACCTGTCACGTAACACAGCACTGTCCAAGTGACACTACAAAAGCTCTGTTGAACTCTATGCCCATTCCATTATTGATATTATTTAAAATAATGCGTATTGTATATCCACCTCTTCATTGTCAATGTATCAATATTTGTCATTTTGGCATAACTGATGTCAAGCAGAAATGCTCTTACATAGTTCTAAAAATATTAGAATTCACATCCAAGTTTTTGGTCATAGTTCTAAAAATATAATTTTTTTATTCACAAAGAATAGCATTCATGTCAGAGTTTTTGGCATTATTGCAAATGCAGTGTAATAAGTTGGAATGAGAACACTTAACTCTTTCCCTCCTAATTGATGATGCCAACATTGATTTGATCTCCATTAAACTAAATTGATTTTTAGATTTATAAACTTTAATTTGTGTTGGGTAAAAAGAGCATGCGTTCTCCTACAATTAATATTAAATATAAAATTTTCTGATAAAAAAACAAAAAAGTTATTGAAGTTTAATCATAACAGGATAGTGAAATACAAATGAGCAAAATGAATAATACTATCGAAACGAGAAAAATAATTGCGACTGAAAGAGTTACAAAAAAAGATAGACACATGAACCAAATGACAGTCTTTCTTTAATCTACATTATCATTCTTTTTTTGAAGTAACGTCTGTATTTTATAAGATAAGTTCAATAGCAATCCTTTTTATCTTTTTTTTTTTGAAGGAAAGTCTGTATAGGATAAGAAGGTAAAATTATTTTTTTTCCTTATTTTATGATATTGTGCTTCTTGGTGACATTTATCCTCAGGGTTTTGAGGCCATTTATAACTTCATGCTCTATGCATGAGTGTGTATACACTTTTATCCGCAGAATATCCATGAGCTGAATCTCTTTTCAACCATTTCGCATCTTTCCTAAACTAACTGAATAAAGAAAAGGTTTCTTTCCAGTAATGAATTAACATGTAATTTTGTAAATGTGTGTTCTTTACTATAGCACATTAAATTTACCCAGTGGATTGCAAGTATTTGCCTTTAGTCAAAATTTGAAAGTGAAAAACAGATATTTTATTTGCATTATTCATAATTTTGAAAGTGAAAAACAAATAAACTTTTTAAAATTATTAATAATTTTGAAGCTACTTTGCTGTGGCAAACCATACATAGTAGGCTTTCACATCATTTTCTATGTGTTTTACCAGGATTACCTAGTGATACATATAAAAATCATGTCACCGTAATTAATAGTAGCAACTATTGTTTACATAAATAGTTTTTACAAACATGTCAGAAAAAAAAGTATAGTACCTCTTTCAGACTTTGTAATCTACAGAGCAGAAGATGATGTAAATGTCATCTGCTTTGAGGGCTGATGGTCAATGAGGGTATCATGTGGCCAGCACAATGACCAACCCCTTTACTTTCCACAACCAATGTCAGGCACCCATTAGTGTTGGATGGACCTGAAATTTAAAATCTCAGTTTATATCGAGATTTCAACCCGGGACCCCTTGATTTGAAAGCCAAGCACTTAACCACTTGGCCACCATGCCCTTAAAAGTGTCAGTGTTTAGGGTTAATTGAGCTGTTTAGACATTTCCTTTGATAATTAAACTTTTTTTTTTTTTTATAGTTTTTCAACATTGGTAACATGGTATACACAATTTCATGTATAGCTAAACTCTGAATCTTTCCAAGTTAATTCTTTTTACAACTATTTCATCAGAGAAAGTTATTTTGTTTTTTTATTTCTGATGAGCCTCTAAGAACTTAAAGTAAGGAGTGAATGGTTGCCTTGAATCTTGGACCAACTCAGTGTTTCTCGCATAAAAATGTCATCCTAAGAAGTCTATATTGAACTGATCTTTGCCCATTTGATTGTATTCTATATTGTATAAATGTAAACATCATCTTTTGAATTTATTTGCAAACTAAATCTAACCCCCCTCTCCCTTTAATGTTTTCTTTGTTGGATAAATGTGTCACACTGAAATTTCTGTTCACTTCAAATGTTTTCTCTTGAGATCAAATTATCTCACAGCCGTCCATTATACAGACTGACCTTAAAAACTCAATAAGAGGTCTAAGACATTGGAATATTCCGTATTTTATGTGTTTTGTTCAAATTGATTTGATTTGTGCGGTTCACAAGTTTTTGTATTATTTAATTTCAGTAACAATTTAGCTTTCACATTCATGCATCTATTATATTACAAAATAATATTGACTTAGTTACTTGCTTAAACTCATCCAGGCCATTCGGGGCATTGGGTGGCAAGCTGCCCCCTAAGAAATTAGTCTTCAATACTGTTTTTAGCCTCTTGGTGTCCACTGCCCTGGGATCATCATTAAAGGTGTGGCGCCATGTTTTACAAGGTCACTCCTGTTTGAGCTTTCCTCCTATTGGACCGCATGTTAATACTATTTTTGGGGCAGGCAATTTGTTCTGTCAAATAAAATGTGCCGCCAACCTCATGCAGCTAGTTGGCTTACATTTTTTTTCAGTATTTCTCTATCCACTAGATGACTGTCCCTTTTTAATGAGTATGGCCAAAAGAATACTCAACAGTCAATCAAACTTGTTATTATGTTTAGAGAATCCAATGGCAGTGATTAATAAGGCCTCACTATGACAAGAAATCCTCTCTCCTTCACCTCTTTATTTACAACACAGAAATATAAACTTGAAAATCACCAACAAAAATTTTTCCCTTACACTAGCTTCTAATTGTAGCAGAATTGTTGCTTCACCTGTCATCCAATGTATATTATCCTATCATGGTTACTTAAACTAACTTGACTGACCCTAGTTTTTCATTGTGTCAATTCATCCATCTCTGCTCAGTTCAACAGTTTCATTCTTTGAAAGAAATCTTTAATGTTAGGGTCGAATTGAGCTTATCCATTTCATTGAGACATAAAAAGTTTAGTTAAAAATTCTCCTTTCAGACCTAGAAATCTTTAGAGCAGATGATGTAAAGGTCATCTGTTTCTATGGCCAACAGTTAATGAGGGCATCCACATACTTAAATCCTGGTAATGAGTATAGTAAAGTAAGTAAAGTTCCCCTATCAGACCTTGCAAATCAATAGGGCAGATTATGTTAAGGTCATCTGTTTCTTTGGCCAGTGGTTGACAAGCAGTGTGTCATCTAGCCAGCACAACGGCCAACCGCTTTACTTTATGTCCAAAAAAAATGTCAGGTACTACCCATTAGAGTTGGGTGGACTCAGGGGCACCCTCAAAGTTCCGAAATTAAAAATCCCAATCTTCACCAAGATTTGAACCCAGGACCGCTCGGTTCAGAAGTCAAGCACTTTACCACCATGCCCATTCCAAGTTGTAACATTTTATATATTAAAAATGCTAGTTCTAACATCCTCTATACGTAGCAAAGTTTTATAACCTGGAGTTCACCAAGGCATTATTTTTTAATAGCTATTACGTAATATCCTAGCCTTCCCCAAGTGATTAATCACTCAGCCAGCCTGCTCCCAGTCAATGTTAAACTTTTATACAATTAATTTGGCTGTATACGTTTATTTGGCTGTATAGGTCTATTTCTAGTTATTTCATGATAGTATATTGTCATAGCTCTTGTCTTAGATCCTTTAAAAGTTATGTCGTCACTATAAAACAAAAATGTATAACCAAGATATTTATTAGTGTTTTACTCATTTCTGTATCATTGTAATTGATAAAGTGATATCAAATGTTCATTGTTTTACTTTTGTAACTATCTCTCGGGAGAATGTATTGATCCACTAAATAAGATGAACACTTTGTGTAATGTTTCTAGTCCATTATTACGGTACCAACAATCATGCATGACTGAATAGACTATTGACTATCTGGGTTTTTCGTAACTTTTTTTTGTTTAAATTATCATAAAGAAATAAAATATTTTTTATCAGTCAATATTGTTTTTTAATTCCATTTCTTACATAAACTGGATTAACACATGGAAAGCATAGGATGTAATAATTTCATTGTTCTAATCTCAGTTTTACAATACCTTTATTAAAGTCAGAACTTCATCTAACCTGTAAACAATCCAGGAACTTGCATGAACAGCTGATCTTAAAAATGGCTCAAACTATTTTCCTAGAAATTTAATAGTTGATGTATATAGATTCTAGCTAAGGAAAGATTTACTAGCTCAGTGGCCATACGGGGAAAACTCTAGTCTGACTATCATTTTTCAATTTAAAAATTTGAATAAATTTAAATTTGGCTTGGCAAGAAAGTTAATCCTTTCAGAGCTGATGTTGGACCTAGACCTTTCACTTTTCTGGAATTTCCTAATGAAAGGCTTAATTGATTCAAGAGTTTAATAAATTAATTTTCAGGAAAATTGTGTGAGTCTAGATCTAAATGCTTATCATTGCAATATAAAATAGTGTACTACATTTATAGATACATTAAGCTTTAACCAGGATTCTTTCTCTGTGAGAAGGGGAGAGAATACAGGGTAAAATATGTTTCATATCACCTCTAACACAAGTTGCAGAAAGGAGATATTGACTTATTAAAAAATGTATTTTTAATGTTTATGTTGTAGATTTGAGTTGAATTTACCGAGTGCCTACATGGAAACCTTCTCCTCTCACCTGACCTCTCCTCAAACATCCACAAAAGAAATTGGACCATAGCACACTGACCATGCCATGAGAGATGCACTATACAAAACCAATTTTTTTTATAAAATCTGTAAAGTTTTATCTCGTAAAAGTATTAATTATAGAACTACAGTGTGAGAACCGTTTGTAAATTATTTTTATAAATTTTCTGCATAAGCACTGACAATTTCTATGCATAACCTATGGCCACACCAGTCAAGTTGAATGTGAGTGCTCCATTAGAAATTAAATTACACAGACTAACAAAAAAAAAAAAACATGCTCTATAAACTAATTGAAAGATTTAAATAGTTAATTTTATTAACAAATTTATAACAGGTTGAATATAAAATAACAAACTTCAAATTTGAAATAATGAAATGTTTGTTATAAACTTATCAAACAACAAAAAGAAACAAAGTTAACAAAAACATGTCAATTCTAATTCCAAACTTAATATCAACAAAGTGCTCTGACTAGCACTATTTCACAAACATATGCAGTGGCTGATACATGTTTTGGCAAAGCCACTTAAAGATAGGCAATTTAATCTTAACTTACTAAATCATAACTATTCTGTTTTGCCATGAGCTGCATAAGACCCAGTTGATTTTGTAATACAACTTAAGATTAAGTCATTCTTGCTTGAGAATAAATATATTAGTGAGATCAATTGGCATGGCTAGCATGGGGACCATTGAATTTATTAAAGTTCACAAGAAAAGGACACAAAAATAGTATGCCAAATATTTCCTTAACAGCCATAAGACATAATCTATTCAATGTTTTCACATTGGCTGGCAAAGCATTCATTACTTTTTCACTAATATACATTTTTTGATATAATTTTGTGCAGACCCCTAAATTCAGACAATTTGAGATGGAAATCATTATCACATCTGCAAGAATAAGTACAGCCACAAAAAATAATTTTACATTTTCTTTTAGGACTGGGGCGGAAGGCCCCTTCCTCTACCTCGTAATCCCTTGGTCACCATCTGGTTTAAGGCTTCTCTGCCTCGTAATCCCTTAGTCACCATCTGGTTTAAGGCTTCTCTGCCTCGTCCCATATGATCTGAAAAATTTTTAAAAATGTCTGTACTTCATAAAGACTGCTAGTTGATTAATCAAAGAAATACAAGAAATTTCATAAAATTATGTAAGAAAGACACTAACTGCTACTTTGATCCCTGTTTGAGCTTCTCTACAAGGTATTTCATACAATTATGTAAGATAAGACACTAAATGCTACAGTGACCCCAGTTTGACTTTCTCTACAAGGTATTTCATAAAATTATGTAAGATAGACACTAAATGCTACAGTGACCCCAGTTTGAGTTTCTCTACAAGGTATTTCATAAAATTATGTAAGATAGACACTTAATGCTACAGTGACCCCAGTTTGAGTTTCTCTTATCGACATCTGATTGCTCTGTCAGATCCACTCTATCATGGTTATTATATAAGATGGCTTAAGGTTAGGGTTCAAGCGATCCCATTTCATGATTAGACAATATCTAATCAGCTCAAAAAATCACGAGACCTATACATCATGCCCATAGACCAAACAAGTAACACCCATCACATAGTTTACAGTAATCTAGTACTAATCCTATAAATATGTTAAAGAGTCAATAACTTGATAAAAATGTCATTAATCAAATCACCAAATGGCCTATACATGCTTTGGTCCAGCCACTTTAAGACTAACTCACAATTTGTCTACCAGTCTCTTTAACTAAAATATATGTCCCTGTAAAAGTGAAAGTCTTAAGAGAAGTGTAAACAGGAAGTATATTTATACATTGTCTTCTAAAGATTTATGTTAGTAAAGGGAGGTGATCATGAATATAAAGTAATTTTATTTCCGGTCTGAGAAACTTTTAATTGAAAACCTTTCAAAAAAGGTAAGACATGCTTATATCGGGGTCCATCAGTTAATACGTTTCAAGTTTTAAAAAAAAGTTTCCTTTTCAGACATTGCAATCTATAGGGCAGATGATGTAAAGTTGAAGATGTTCTCAAGCACAGCGACCAACTGCCTTTACTTTTACCTAACTAATGTCAGGTATTAGAGCTGGGTGGACTCAGAAGTGCCCAAAGATACCAAAATTAAGAATCTCAGTCTTCACCAGAATTCAAACCCGAGATCCCCATTCTGAAAGATAAGCACTTTACCACTCAGTCATCGCGCCTCAATAAGTTTGAAGTTTCATGTTAAATACTTGATCTATCTTGATTCTATCTATATACATCTATTAAAAAAATTAAGTTATGTTGTGTTGATAATGTGTTTGAGTTTGAACATTATTTTATACGTCGTATTTTATAAGTCATAAAAAAGACTTTTGTCATTTCTTAACCTTAACAAGTATCTTCAGCATAAATATGGAGATACTTCAATTCTAAAAAAACTCAGACATATCAACCCCTTAATTCCACTCTTTGAGTCAACTTTTGACTTGACCTTAGACTTGACTGCCCTAAATCTCTGACCCTCAAAAATATGTACACCTGGGATTGAAAAGTGTTTCTACATAAAAACTTAAAACCTTTTACGTACTAAAAGAGTATGTACTATTATATTATGTTTCACAAACCTGCACGACTAAAGCTATGAGAAGATGTTTCTTCTAAGTGCTAAATGAGAATGTACTAATTTATGTTTCACAAACCTCCACGACTAAAGCTATGAGATGATGTTTCTTCAAAGTCTACTCCTGGCTGTGAGCTATAGGGTCCTTGAGGCATATCTCCACTGGAATAACACTGAAAAATAAATAAAATATTTGCACTTTTTCGTCCAAGATGACATTACTTCATTAGAATCTATTATTACAAAATTAATTGTCTTTGATGGTTATATCAATGGTTTGGAACTAATTACTCTTAAGAATAACACACTTGCATTATAAGGCAAGAAATAGTGGATCCTACTTTTGACAAAAACTATTGAAAAGTAAGAGATTCAGATAGTGCTAGTCTGAACTTTCTTTTCTTTCTTCCCAACTTAGTTGATTCATGGGGACATTTCCAATCCAGTTTTTCTGGTCAGTTGCTACACTTGATTAGAACTATTCTGAGCATAAAAAACACTAATACGATTTAAGTCTTTTGATCTGACAGCCTTCAGGATGAAACGAATCAGAACACTGGAATTTGACATTGAAAGGTTTTCAAACAAACCACAGAGTGGACTTAAACTCTAGAATTTTATTGAAATAGTCTCAAACAAACTGTAGAACAGACTAAATGACATCTGAAGTACTTTTAGGGCTAAAAAAAAATTTCAATCAATGAATCAATCTTGATGAAATCATAAAGTTCTGGGAAACCTACTTTATTTTGCACCTCTCCATTCGAAGATATTGTATGTTGGTTTGAGAATTATTTTTTTAAAGATTTGACATGAGATTTGAATTTCTTTAGTGTATCTCTTAAGAGTTATCCCAGGTCATGTGATTATAACCTAACAGACAAGTTGTGTTTCATTTCCAAATATAGTCACAATAAATGTAACTGTCAGGTTGTAGTGACCCTACATCCTGTGACTAACATCCCCAACTATGCAGGTTTGTAACCACTGACCATAGATCATGATTCGAATTCGATCTTCAATTATTTAATTACACTTGAATAATAGAATAAAAAAGTACAATAAATTCTTGAGAATACTGACGTCAAAACCAAATGCGAAACTGACAGCTCAATATATTTTACTACCTCTTGTTCTAAATGTAGATCTAGAAAGAGAGTCAGAGAGAATGTCTGACTCTTTGTAAAGTACTCCTCTGACTCTTTGTTAAGTATTCCTCTGACTCTTTGTTAAGTATTCCTCTGACTCTTTGTTAAGTATTCCTCTGACTCTTTGTTAAGTATTCCTCTGACTCTTTGTTAAGTATTCTTCTGACTCTTTGTTAAGTATTTCCTCTGACTCTTTGTTAAGTATTCCTCTGACTCTTTGTTAAGTATTCTTCTGACTCTTTGTTAAGTATTCCTCTGACTCTTTGTTAAGTATTCCTCTGACTCTTTGTTAAGTATTCCTCTGACTCTTTAAGTATTCCTCTGACTCTTTGTTAAGTATTCCTCTGACTCTTTGTTAAGTATTCCTCTGACTCTTTGTTAAGTATTCTTCTGACTCTTTGTTAAGTATTCCTCTGACTCTTTGTTAAGTATTCCTCTGACTCTTTGTTAAGTATTTATCTGACTCTTTGTTAAGTATTCCTCTGACTCTTTTTGTATTTCTCTTGCTCAACAAAGATTGTGAATTTTGTAATGACTTAATGACTTACATGCTTCATAGAGGAACTAAAACTGGAGCCAGGTCTGACAGCAACTGGTTTGACTAGATTCCCAGCTCTGATGAACCCAGGTGGTGGGGTAACAGAAGAAGAATATATGTTGGTAGGGAGGGCCACAGTTACTCCTCTGCCAAAAGGCAGTGCAGCAGATAATCCTGCATAACAAAAAATATAAACAATTTCTATGACATAGGTTCCAATGTTAGGAATAAAAGGTAAATAAGCTTATCTAAAACAAAAGGAGATTACATAGGAACTAGACCCACATCAGAATCACTGTCACTTGAAAGACTTATCTAAAACAAAAGGAGATTACATAGGAACTAGACCCACATCGGAATCACTGTTACTTGATAAACTATGATTTACAAATTGAGCAAGAATGAGAATAGGACAAGTGCTAAGCTGCACATCTAAAAGCTTGGGATGTTCACTCAAGATTTAAAACAATCCTTCAAACCACCATACATGTCTTTACCAACCGCCGTTACTTTCCCCAATTAATGTTTGATACCCATTGGAGTTGGGTGGACTCAAAAGCGCCCTGAAAATCCCAGAATTCAAAATCCCAGTCTTCACAGAGATTCAAATTTAGCCTGGAAGCCAAGCATTTAGCTATACAGATTATGTTGATATTTGCTTATTAACTGATTTTTTTTAATGTTTAAAAAAAAAAATTCTTTTAAATTAAAAGTTAAAAGGCTAATGGATCAACATGCCAAACAAAAGCTGATGCAGAGTGTTGTATATAAACTTTAGCCTAATAGATATTTATTTTTTGGCATATCTGCACACTTTAGGCCAAGCCATGCCCTTTAATCTTTCAGGAACTATCTTCTACTCAGTAAATGCAGACAGTTCGTTAAAAATTATATTAATTACAATTCAAGCATTCAAATCAGCTTATATAAAGTTCAAATACTAAACATTTTGGTTCTGGTTACTAAAGTATTAATAAAAATACTGTTGTAAATATTATTATAACCCTAGTGGCGGACTGAAAGGGTTAATGTGTGTGCAGCCAACTGACACACATGATTCAGGCCAATCACACAGGTCAAGGTCTGTTGAACAAGGGACATTACTGCTAATGCACGCAATATGACCAATGTTATGGTCATGTGACCAAAAAGCCTTAACAGACGAGAGACAGTGTGTTAGAAAGCGCAGTTGATTCCAGGACAGCAAGCCAGTAAGGACTGTGCTACAAAGTGAGTCCTTGAAAATGTAGCTGTACGAGTCTAGAAGTAGACAGAGAAAGACTTATAGTGTTTAGCAGGCAGTTCTATTGTGTTAAAGCATTTGAATTTGATATAGCCAATTGTGTTGTATTGGCTTTTCATGTATTTGTCATTAAACTGCCACATTGTTACTTGAGACTCTTGTTGTCAAGTTCTTGTGTTAGATGTGCTGTGTTGTGTTTAGCAGTGTTTACAGAAGGCCTGATTAGAAGAGAACATAATATATTTGTATATTCTTTTCACCCAAAGGTGGCTCTCTAGTCACCATCCACTATAGAATATAGTCACTATATTTCTTCTTCGTTGCTTGTAACATTGAGGGGAGAGATCTTAGTCCTACATTAGTATTTACAGCAGTCTCTATAACTTTTCATCCAGTTTTTGTAGACTTACTCTACTCACTAGACAATGTTTTACTTACCATGAGCTGACTGGCTTAAGTGGCTGGAAAATGGGGCTGTCCTAGGAGGACGAAGTTCTCTTAAAGTGGAGGATTTGATTTCTGATATCTCAA